CCCCCCCCCACTAGATTACATGTCAAAGTTTGTTGTGAAAGCTGATGTGTTTAATCTCAGAGGTCATCTGCTGCATATCACTGAATCCTACCCTTCCTACTAGACTAATGTCTGTTGCGACTTGTATGGATTATATGATTCAACATAAGGAAATACCTCCGTTAAGACAAGCTGTGGTAGTTTGACTAAGGCTGCGCTTTTTTGCGCAGGAGACATTGACCTCTACATCCCCCACTACCCGGCTGTGAGCCACATAGTGTCTATTTATATGCTAAAGAGTCAGTCACACCTAGAGCCATACCTAACCCTAATCACAGCTCACCTACATATCCCTCCTTTACACCAAAACTGTGCTCCTACAAACCCCCTTTGGTATTTGTAAATTTTCTAAACTGTCCCCAAAACTGTGCCCCTACATTCCCCCCTTTGGACCAAAACTGTGCTCCTACAAATCCCCCCCTTTGCGCACTTTTGTGCTCCTAGTCAATTCTAACTGATTTGATATATTCATTAAAAACAAAAAGACAAAACCTTACTAAACACATAAGACTTGAATCAGATACTATATTAACATTTTTTTACTGTAGCTTTGAAAATACAGTGGCATCCAGTTATGTTATTTGCAACACACCATATCTTCAGAGCAAAAACTTGTAAACAGGAGCCCTTGAGAAACAGAGTGAGAATATCATCAAGCGTGGTGGGTGTGTCTGGATTAGCTGCAGACATATGAATAAGAAAAGGCAACTAATAGCCCTCAGATTGCTAAGCAGAAGGCGGGGGGTTGTCCTCAGGATCTCGAAATTTCAGTCACTTCAGTGTTAAAGGAGGAGTGCACGCAGACACCAAGGTTAGAAATGCACCAGATTTTCCCATGGGGACAAAATCTGAGGTGAATTCAGACCTGGAATCTCCTCATCATGAGCAGACCAAGCAGAAATAGCATAGAGGTGCTGGAACTTTAGCAGACTATTGTGCTGAAATAGCACTGAACACTGACTGAATGCCTGCTATCTTCCACTGGAATGACTGTGTAATGCTTCATAGAGTCCAGCTCCAGACAACAGTGGGTCAGCTGGCTTTTATCCTTGTTTATTACAAACCTCAGAGGCTGCAGATGTGACCTCAGCAGAACTGTGTAAACTCTGGCTTGATGAGAGAAGTCTGTTAAAATTAATCAATCCTCCAGGTAGCCCAGAGTTCAGGTGACTCCTGATTGGTGCCAATCCTGTCTATACAGATTTTGTAAATACCCCAGTAGCCTGAGATAAAACAAACAGGGACCTGATATTTATATTTCTGTAAGTAAAGTAGGGTTAGAAACATGAAAATATGTGCTTTCAAATTCATGGACGTGACCCAGCCCTTGTGAGCACAGAATATATTACTTGATGCAGTGTTAAAATCTGAATTGAAACATTCTCAATGGTATTGCTCACAGATCCAGTATGTGATGGAGTTCTTCTATTTGGGATCACAAAATAGCTCTGTCTTACCACTCTAACCTTCTCTACATCCTTACAATGCATTCCAAATTATTATGCAAATTGTGTTTGTCATAAAAATTAAAATTTTTTCTTCAAAATAACACTTAAGTGGTATTGTGTCTCAGGACTCTTTGGATCACTGAAATCAATCTATAATCATTAGTTTTCCAGGTGAGCCCAATTAAAGGCACAGTGTGCAGGATTTTGTCAATTCTTTTTGCCGAAATTGAGATAATCACTAATGACAATAATAAAAAACATGTCTAATCAATGCAGACAAAGACCTTGTTTTATTATTTTTACCTTATAAAAAGCTGTTTATATCTCCATAGTCGCGGGTCGCCACTACAGGCAGCCACCATCTTGCACCGCCATCTTGTCTACGAAGGCTGATGAAGGACAAACTGGTGGTGGCGTCAAAAACGGTTTTAGTTGTAATACTATAAATGTAATATTTGTTGTCTGTCATTGTAGCTGGGATAATTTTACTTATTAAAGCTCATAATCTTACCACTTGAAACATCAGTAGCCCTGAAGCTGCTGGTAGACATCGCGGTTGGAATTATCAAAGGTTTTTGACACCTGAGAGACACCATAGCAACTCCTTTGCGTTTGGAAGCGGGGGGTGGGGGTGGGGGGAGGACCAGGGAGGATGATTCAACCACTAGATATCGCTGAAAACAACAAATCCTACACAKTGTGCCTTTAAAGGAAAAACTGCTGAAGAAGTATGCTCCTCATTATTAAGCAGACCCCTATTTTCAAATAATGTAGGAAAGAAAAATAATCCCTATGCTGACGAAAATGTGAAATAGTTGAATGCCTTGGACAAGGTTTGAAAACCTTACTGTAGATATGCCATAAAAAAACTAAGATATGATTATCATARAGTAGAGAGATCTGTGGCTGATTCAGAGCACGTGCAGGTTCATGTAGATAAGGACACGATGGAGGTTTCTGCCAGACAAATACATTGGATTAGGAGAGCAGCTGCTAAAAAGCTCACGCAAAGAAGAAACAGATATCTGAATCTGCAGGTGCCTCTGGAGTCCTGCGAACATCAAGGTCCGCTGCAGTTCTGCACAAACTTTGGCCACCACTAACCAATGTTCACAAGCAGAAACAGCTGGAAGTGGGTCCAGAAATACATGAAGACTAAAATCATCTTCATGCCTCATGAATTCCATCTCATGCATCTCATGGAATACATCTGCATTATTGGCTGCTATGGGCAWAAAAGGAGAGAAACTCATGGTGTGGTCCCTATCCTCCCCTGACCTRAACCCTTATTGAGGATCTTTGCCTCAAGCCAAAGATCTCTGAGGGTGGGAGGCAGTTCACATCCAAACAGCAGCTCTGGGAAGCTATTCTGACATCCAAGCAAAGAAATTCAACAGAAACCACAAAAACTCACCTGATCCTATGTTAATCTAACTTGACCTGTTAAGATGTTTTTGATTGAAATAGCTTTTAATTTCAGTAAATATGACCAACTGCTGCAAATTCAACAAATGAACATTTTTAGTTCTCTACAACCTACAACATATTTTGAAACTCTTTTGTGAGTAGGAAAAAAAAACATAATGGTGTGGAGAGGATGGCTATAAGGGGAGAAGGGAGGCCATCAAAAAAAAAGAAACTCTTTTGTGAGTGCATTCATTTAAGCTAAATTAGGTTTTAGACAGATAGCCTTATGTTCACTACTGTAAAATCATCAAAACTTAGTCTTCAAACATCAAAGGTTTAGGTGATTTAAGTCTTGTTTTTAGGGTCTTAAGTGGACATGCTCCTCCACCTTTAAACTATTTTATTCATAAGCATACGTTCAGAATGAATACTAGATCTCAAACTGAGGGGACTGTGTTGTTGTTGCAAGCTGGAGAACAAAATTTGGGCGAAAGGTGTTGACAGTCAGAAGAACACTCCTATGTAATGAACTATCAGCAAATATCAGAGACTGTGAGAGTTATTCCATTTGAAAAAGAAAAAGTTTGGCTTAAAGAAAACCAATCATTGGTAAAATAATTTAACTATGTACCTTGTAGTCAGAGGTGTTTGTGTGTTTGTTGTGTGTTTGTTAAATTTTGTCTGTTTTCTGCACTTGTTTTATAAACTACTTTTTATCTGTTCAGGACAACAGAGGAAATTTAGCTGTTTTGCAAATTCCAGTGCATTTATATTCACAGTATATTGATGCACTGTCCTTTTAAATAAATAAATGACATAAAAAAGAACATATTTTTGAAAATACTGTGAATGCTGTTTTTAATAACATTTCAGTTATACTTTAATAGCTGAAGATTTGAAAATTATTTGTATTAACTATTTATGTCATAATCTGTGTTTATTTCCTAAGTTTTTGTGTTTCAGTGTTCCCCTGTGTTTTTTTTGCCCTGCAGCTCCGCCCACACTCACCTGTTTTTCCTCGTGTCTTCTCCAGATGTCTCTCATTTGTCCTCGTTAGTTTCCCTTTAAATGTGGTGATTGGTCCTCAGTCTGTGTCTGTTCATTGTGCTGTTTACACAGCCAGTGTGGTTTTCTCTGTGTTCCTGTTCTCCTGAGAGTTTTTGAGCTGCCCTGCCAGCCTTTTTATTTTATTAATAAATCTTTTGTTAAACTTTGGATTTTTGCCTGCGCCCTGGGTTTATCCTGCCTGCACCTCACAATTTAGGAAAATCAAATACAAATATAATTTTCATATTAATTCTCCTCTTGAACAATTCATCATACTCTTTTGTTTGGCATTTTCCATCTCCCTCTTTGCCTTACATTGCAACTCCTTATCTTCCCGTCTACACTCTTCAACCCTCTCACTGTCTCATTTCTTCCTTGTTAACCTTCCTTATCATTGCTTGGGATTGGCACAAAAGAAACACAGGCCAGTACTCACTGGCTGGTTTGTTAGTTTGTCAATGTTAGTCTGTTAAAGTCAGTCTGTTAATGTTAGTTTTTCTAGACAGCTTTTAGAGTGATGTGTGACCCTGAAACTGAAACTGACTGAAGTAAGGAAGGTTTCATTTGAGCATGAAATCAGGACTAGTGTTTGTTGACTTTGGTGCATGTGTTTGCCCACCTCATGACTCTGAGAGGGGGTATGGCTGAGACTTTGCCCACAGGTTTTGGACCCACTCCTGGTGTCATCATGACCAGCAGGCCTGCAGAGGGTTTGGAACTGGATTTTGGACTTGATGTGGCAGAAGCTGCTCTGGCTGGACTGAGAGGGAGAGGCCTCTGGGGAGGGAACGGGGATGGTGCTGACTGCTGCTCAGAGATGAACTAAAAGACAGAAGAAAATAAGAACAGTCAAACTAGACAGAACAGCAGAACAAATAAACTAGGTCAAAGGAGCAAAATATCACTGCTTAAAATTAGATGATCACTTTCTGAGAGTTTGAGTAAAATCTGTCGTTCATAAATATTTTGCTGACAAACTGATGTGCATTACGCAGCACTCAGATTATTTGCAGTGATGCTCACTCATTTTAGATTAATTTTTGTAAATACTAACTGAGTTACACCCATTTTTGTGTTTTGTAATACTGATTTTGTGGCGGCCATCTMAAATCATTTTTAATTTTATTAGTATTTTGGTAAATAAAAATAACATATTGGCTAAAAATAAACCAAGGTCTGGTGTATTTCAGTTATCAGCTGTGCTGAAAAACTAATGTAGTGTTTTTTTTCTGAAATATTGGTGGACTCAAGAGTTAAGCAAGAAAATTGTCTTATTAYATGAAAAGTCACAGCAGGTGACAGGTTCAACAGAGTAAAGAGTGTCTGCAGAAGTTGTGGCAAAYAAACAACACAAAGCAAATAACATACGTATCTGCTGGGTTTGCTGCATTAGAAAACAGAAGAAGCCAGTTAAAATAAACCTATAGTAGAACAGTCTTCAGTAGTCGTGACACATTTTAATACTCCTTAATGTAGACACACGATGCTTTTAAATCCTTCTTTTTCACATTTAAATCCTTTAGTTGAGGTATAAATGAAGTGGAACTGCAATGCTTTGGTCTAAATTCCTCTCTGCCCCTTTTTGAGGTGTGTCTCAAATCAGCTCATTTTGAGGCTGTCTCTTTAAAAGATGCATTTCACACCCTGCTACCCTCCAGCTTCCAGATGGTTCATTCTAGTCTGATAGAGGGGTTTWCGACTAGARAGTTGCTCAGAAATGATTTATTCACAAATAGATAAAAGATGTCCACAAGACTTGTCCATCCAGCATCTGAGCCAGAGTCTGACACAGAACTTGAGGAGAATGAAGATCACCAAACTGTAGTTGGTAAATACAGACCAGTGAGAGCTGGAGATCACAATCTGATGAAGCCAACAGGACCACACCTTTTTTCCCAAGAATAAATTAAAACAAAAGTAATTTACAAAAAACAAAAACTAAACAAAAACCAAAACAATATCAAAACCTTGGTAAGCAAAAATTCAAATAGATACAGATTATTCCATCTCATATTTCTTTAACAAACCAAATTTTATCATTTTCTTGACATAAACATAAACACGGTGCTGACATTTTTCTTGTCACTCTCCAGATTATTCCATAATGGTATTCCTTGGATTGAAGAACTCTGTTCCTTCAAACTCATTCTGAGTTTAGGTTGCACAAATATATATAACCCCGTGAGATTGTAATAACTTTCTCTTTTAAGAAAAAATATAATTGGATGTTTAAAGGCAATATACTTTTGTGAGCCCTACACATAACCTGTAAATTATGATTAAAAAAAGCCGTCAGCTAGAGTTGTATGGAGGACCGACACTGACACAATTATAAATAAAAGCAGAAATATATAAATGAGCCACTAAATAAATAAATACACTTAAAATGCACCAATTCAATTAAAAAACAACTTCACCTCATGTTTTGTAATTTAATTCTTGTTTAATTGATATTTTT